TGTGTATGTATGTGTGTGTGTGCTTCCAAAACTCAGTTTTAATTTCACAACACACTGCAGAGATGGACAACAATATCTACATACTCTCACCCCGCAGGACGCCCAGCCTTTGTATAAAGACTACAATGAATATCTGCATTATATTGTTAATCTGAGCCATGTCGGCGAGTTTCCAACATACTGTTAATGTTTCCATTGTGTATGAATTATCTGGCGTGTGAGCAATTTCCATGCGTTTGCAGTGAAATGGGGGAGGGTGTAGGTGGTAAGAATGCGTTTATGGTCTCTCTTCTGCGAGGGCAATAAAACAAGTGACGTTCCCCAGCTCACCAACAACTATCTCTGCAGCAAAGCCCTGCAACACGAGCAGCAGTCTCCCAGGCTCAGAAATGAAAGCACTGCACAGCATGTGGAGGCACAAAGCAAAGAGAAATAGCTTGTCTAGGTCCGGCCGACTAGTAAAGAACTGCGTCTAAGAAGAACATTTCTACCACTCTCTGAAAAATCCAATCAGTTATGCGACTGTCCAGCACACGTCAGACAAAATCCTCCACAGGCCAACTGTGCCCGGTGTTCTCTAGGAGCTGATTGCTCTCAGGTACAGTCTTTTTCACTCATAGCAATAAAGAGTATGCTTTTTACATTTTACGCACAAAAGTTACAGCTGAATTACAGTAAAATGTAATGTGTAAAATGCTTATGCAGATGTTCCAGTTTTTTTCCCTGTTCTGATCATACTTCGACATTCCTCAGACACACACGGAGGAAAGAGGAACCGATAATTATCTCAGCAGCAAATTATGGGTTTGGAAATTACTTTAGAGGTGTTCTGCAAAAATCTAGCAAAACTTAACTGCCTGTCTGGGTGAAGTGTGCTGCCCCTAAATTCGCAAAATCAACTATAATGATATAAAAGTGACCAGTTTCTCTCACCCTCAGCTTTCTGTAATCAACATAATTAAATTACTTTTTTGTATAGTTGATGGAAGCGCATGTTTATGTACCATCGGCATTTTATTATCAAAAATCAAGCGCGTTTGAACAGAATAAAACTCCACACATTAATTTGAAACAATATAATTAACATTATCTTGGCTTTTTCGCAACAGGCCATAATAGATACCAATAAAATAATCAATACAGTTATTGAAAATGTCTGTTCAAGCGCAGTCGCTCTGGCTGCAGCAGCCTATTGGTCCACCTCATTGATTTCTTCAATAGGGTGAATACTTGCAGACTAAACGTGCAACACTGTTTGGTCTGTTGTTTGGGGTCCTGAATAGCCCATAAAAGAGACAAGAACAAAGAGAAGGAAGTAGCTGGTGCAATAAAAGTTCCCCTTCACCTTATTCGTGGCCATATGTGACATCCGCGTAGCACAAATTTGAGGCAAATAAAGCGCAAAAGTTGGAGACTGTAATGTCTCGCAAATGCTGTCCTGGGATTATTTGTCCTCCTCACTTTGATATTAAGTAACGAATCAGTTGACGATGGGATTGAACAAACATAAAGCAGCAAGAGAGGAACAATTTCTATCATTTTCAACCCACAGAGGGGTTTTTGTTGATGAAGAGCAAACATAAGGAATTACAGAAAACATAAAAAGTGTTTTCAACACTGTCACTATAACATGAAATTTAAATTCAAATAACAGAAGCCCAAAATGTGATAAATGTGGTGTTTGATAGTCCGTAATACTTCCTTCATTTGTCATGCTCACGGTGTCAGAAACAGCATGTGTACACGGTGTGTTTCATTTGTTTCAAGTCTTTGTTTTCATTTATATCAATTTCTGTTGCTGTCACCGGGCAGTTGTTATAATTTAGTCCTTTTAAAAAAAGCTTTTGGATTTAATAGAACTTTTAATGGCTTTATATGAACTAAAATTATATGAAAATTATTTGGGTTTCAAAACACATATTTCCCTTAATTGTTATTCACAACCCACCCACCCCCCTAAAAAACAAGCTGGTCCATAAAGTTTAGGTTGTAAATAAAGGCTGAACACTAAAGGCAATGTGTGGACTGGAGAGGCTGGAATGCAGCAGAGGTTGAGTCAGTGTGCAGAATTAGAAAGGTCATTCTTTCCCCTGTGTTTTAGTGTTTTATTGCGGCCCGTGAGGCAAATCACATGCGCGGCTTTTGATGCAGGGAGGAAAGAAGCCGTTTGGTGCACGTTTCTACAATCTTTAAAAGGAAATTGTGTCCAGCGATGAACGATTGAGAACCAGGAAGATCTAAGACGAAAATACTAAATTATTAACAAAAGCCTGGTACCAAATACTAACCGTGGATATTAATAAGCATTAATAATTAATTAATGAATAGTATATGCTCTTAATTTGTAGTTAGTTATCTACGGTGAATGCGCATTGGAGGCTGAGCATGATGGGGATAGATCATGCGTAACATGATTATTATCATTATTATTATATTATCATTATTATTATTTTTATTATATTTGTCGGGTTTATAAGATTATCATGCCGGATCGGTTTTTAATTCACACTTTAATTTGTTATTCTGCTGAGGGCCTAACTTTGACAGGCTGCTATCCTGCGACACAACCAGGGCCCATGCACGTCCATGGCTTCTCTTCTGCATGCCTATAGATGCATCATCAATATCCAACACCACAACATCGCTCAGTATTAGTTATATGGGATCTGTAAAATTTCTACATTATCAGCCATGATTAAAAACACAGCGAGGGAGGAAAAGTCTGGTCAGTCCCTGATGCTTTTTCCTCTCCCCCGCTTCTAACCTTACTAATAAGGAGTAATTCACATACTAACAATGTAAAGCCCTCTATAAGCACTTTACCATCGCTGGCTAGCCCAATTAATGTCCGGAAGTGTTCGACTTTATGCTCGTTAAGCACTCAGGAAGCTGTTGCCCAATGAGCGCATGTTGATCCACACATCATAAATTATGACCATTAGTAGGCAAAATTTTTGCCCTGTCGGGATTTGTAAGTGAGGTTCTAAATGTGGTGATGCGGACAGATTCATGACTTCATGGAGTTTTATGCGAACCTATCTCTGGTTTTAAAAACACTGCAGGGCAAAACAATAGACTGTGGTTTTCCCCTCTTATTTTAAACCAAGATTTACCTAACAACCCAAATGGCATGTATTAAATGGACTCTTTCCCTTTTCTTTCTCCCTCCCTCCCTCTCTCTCTCTCTCTCTGCAGGCATATTGGGCTGCAGCGGACACGATCCATTGCAACACCAATGTTTCATAAGGGAAAAGCAAACAACGTGTGTAACAGTAGGTTATAAGACTTTAAAGGCTTCCACAACGAGGCTTTGCTAATAATTGTATTTTACAAGATTGAAACGCAGGACGGCTGAGCTTCAGCGGGGAGACAGAAACACATGAAATCGCTTTATAACTAAATAAAATATGTTATTGTCTCTGAACAGACAATAATAAAACACAGAGGGAGCATTTCACCAAGCTGAGCTTTGATAAAAACAAACGCTTTCAACTTTACAGGCACACAAAAACTACTGCTGTCTGAGTCTCTCACACACACACACACATTCACGCACTGTCTCTAGGCCTATGCTCGCTGTGTGTGTGTGTGTGCTGTGTGGAGAAAGAAGAGAGAGAGAGAGAGGAAGAGGAGGAAGACCAAAAAATAAATTTAGCGAAGCCCTTAAATTGGTTACTAAATTGGCATTTGCACTCCAAAACGAAGTAGTTCTACCTATTGCAGAGTATCCAAAACGCTCTTAAGTAGTGTCTATATGTGTGCGGTTGAATTGTCGTGTGCTGTGTGTGTGTGAGAGACTCGACAGCAGGTTATTTTTTTTGGTGTGCCTGGCTAAAGTGGAAAGCGTTTTTTTTATCAAAAGCTTCAGCTTGGTTGGAAATGCTCCCTCTGTGTTTTATTAGTTGTCTGTTCAAGGACAATAACATATTTTTATTAGGTTATAAAGCCGATTTTCATGTGTTTCTGGGTTCTCCCCCGCTGAAGGCTCAGCCGGTTCCTTGCGCTTTCAAATCTTGTAAAATACAATTATTAGCAAAGCCTCGGTTGGTGGAAGCCTTAAAGGTCTTATAAAACCTACTGCTTACACACGTTGTTGTGGCTTTTCCCTTATGAAACATTGGTGTGCAATGGAATCGTGTCCGCTGCCAGCGCCTATGCCCTGCAGAGGAGAGAGAGACGCGCGGGGGGTCGAGACCTATTAAGAGAGGAAAAGAGAGGGAGAAGGGAGGAGAAGTTCATGCGCTAAAGAGAATAGACTGGTCGGGGGCGGGGCGTGGGCGGGCGGGCCGGCCGGGGGGCGCAGGGCGTGGCGCGTGCCGTCAGCCGCGGGTCTGTTTTGCCCTTTATTGTTTTTCACTGGTCTGAAACGCCCCCATGGTTTTTTAAATCAGACAATTGCTCGGCCTAGGCCTTTTTAAAAAAACGATGATTCACTCAAAAATACACTCATTAATGCCCATTTTTAATTAAAGTTTTAGCAATTCTTGGATGTAT